CTACAGTTGAATACACATATGAATTCTATACAAAATGACCACGTGAACTGACTCACATATCGCTGCTCGAATATTATAGGCATTGTTGCTATCCCAGAATAGCGTTGCATATACGCCGTCGAAGTCGACTCCGCTTCCTTCTGTGAGATCACTAGCTGTGTTGTATCCTCTACCCAGCACAGTCGTTCCGGCGGGTCCATGAACAATTTCCTACGAGGCGAACATAATCGTCAACTTCACGCCTAAGAGTATTACTCCCTCACTCGATCAGCTGCTATTTTATGCACTTCCCAAATATCGTCTTCTAGTGGGAACGCTAAATCTCTGGTAGAATCCACCGTTTCCGTCACACATGAGATGCAATGGCTCAACCTGCGGAGAACGGCGACTCGACCAAACGCAAAAAATCCGGTAGTTTTCTTTCGATTGCTAAGTTATTCTACACTAATCTCTAATTCCTGACACTTTAACACATGTGTTTTCGCGTTCGGTAAAGTGTCCACACAAAGACACTTTTTTTCGCCGGGATTATGTTATCTGTACACTTGTCTGACTTGAACTTCGCACGCATGCGCGCGAAGTGTGAAAACACACAATCAAAATTCTTTTGAGACTATCATACAGAAATTATTCGAAATTCTGCATCTACGACGGAAAGAAATCTCTATTGTCATTCAATTTTCCTCCGTCAGTTTTAAGCGCTATATCGCAAACAAAACGGTTACTCGTGACACCACTACTTTTCTATCGTATTCCGTTCCCACACTATGAGCAGTTCATCGCACACTTTCCTGCTACATACGGCCAGTACCTCGAGTAACCTGAATACCAAATCGTATAACCGAGGACATCAGTGCGAACATGGAAACGCAATTGGAATCGTTGAAAAACGATCTGAGCGGATCACTGATCAGTATCGGATAACCTCTCACCTGTGCCAGAGCTCAAATGAGCTCACAGCCAAAACATTCATTGTTGCCATTATCTCGGCAACACTCTTCGGACCAGCTTCTTCAGGCTACAGAGAAAAGCCGTTGTGCTACACGCGTGCACACAGGGGAAATATGCAAACAGTTGAAAGCGTTTTTATGACATTTTCTTACGAAATTTTCTTTTGATTTTTGAAGACTTCTATCTTAAAACGCGTATAAATTCTCATGAGATAGCGAGTAGAATTCTGAGCTCAGCTGAGCAAATGCGATGCCGATAGAACAGTGCGGGAATATATGTTCACTAGAAGTTTCCTCACTAACCATAGGAGCTTATACACGAACTAGGGTAGAAATGTTCAGCAACCAACAAAAAATTTCCGGAAATTTCCTCGGAATCTTCATATTCTACATGTAGCTGACCATGTACATACTTTCCAACACTGCTGTAGAAATCAAATCTATTCACGCCGAGTCGAAAGTTACTATAGACGATATTCCAGCCGACTCACGGGATTATGAGGAATGCTCAGCTTTTCCGCAAGTGACACTTTGGAAGAGCCGGTCGAGCATCGACTCGTGACGTCATAAAAGAACTGAAGAACTGACAAGTACGGATCGAAACACGGAAGAAGTCGCATGTACTCACTGATTCGAGACGACCATAGGCTCTTTCCATGATATGCATATACTCAGAAGATCCACTACAAGTCTTTGACGCAGCAGTTTCTGATGAACTCGTATTGATCGTCACCTGAATAAGACAAACACACGAGTCAACGATATCACCACCAGTGTTGGAAAATATGCACATGGTCGACCACATGTTTTGGTGACAATATGAAAATTCTGAGGAATTTTCGGGAGATCCTTGTTGGTTCTTGTACGTTTTTACCCGAATTCGCATAGAAATTTCCATACAAGTGAGGAAATTTCAGAGCTCAGTTGAGGAAAGCCTTCATATTTTCCAACACTGATCACCACCGATGTCCGAGGATTTTATAGAGTAAACCATGGGGAGTCGTAATAGAATTTCACCCGTTTTACGCGAAGTGGCATAACACTCTGTGAAAAACCCGACAGTCGCGGTATGCAGTAGTCGCGAAGTCCAACTTTCACTAGTGCTCTTCATATCACCGGTGAATCACCGGTGTACATAAATCTACGTTGTATCGAATACTATTCATAAACTTAGTCCCAAAAAAATCACTTTCCTCAGAAACCCGTGTTACGTCTCGAATAACAGTTACTCTCACTCATTAGCTGCTTACTTCTTTTGCTTCTTTAAGCTTGAGGAACTCCTCCAACGTGTTTGGTTCGACGACAGAACGTAAAGCCACTGGCGCTCCCAAAATGAGATTGTCCGCCTCAGTATCTTGCACGAGTACGTCGCTACTGACAACTTCCTCGGGTTGAGGCGGCGGCAGCCGAAACCTACATAGGAGGTCCGAAAGCACCAAGTAATCTCGAGTGATGAGCCTACCTGAAATCTGAGAGAGTCGCACATACCAGCATTTTCACTGAACAGAAATGAGCCTCGTCGAATACCACGGGGACATATCTGTGAGGCAATGTGCTCAGAACTTCCGGAATATAATTTTCAGTATCATTCGTTCATACCGTCACTTGAGTATCAAACACAAACGCAATGTACTATGCTACGGAACATATAAAAAAACAACAGCGCGTAAAATGAGGAAAAAAAACCACTCGTCGAAGAGTATGTGATGTGGACTTACTCGTAAATACCGTCTTGAATGTGATGTAGTAGTAGTCGTACAGTGGAAGCTCTTTTTAATTCGATACCACCTGGTCATATGAGAATTTCAGTGCGGTCTCCCAACATCGAAGTTTCACCCGTTTCACATGAAGTGGCGTAATACTCTGTGGAAAACCCGATACTTGCGCTATGCAAAGGTTTACAAATATGTTTTTCACCAAAGTTTTTCATCTTATCGAGCTAAGGCTTACTCCCTGTGGTGGCTTCCTTCAGCATTCTCTCAGACTTCAAATTTATGTTGCTGTTGATGCTGCAAGCTTTGAGTTCGCCGTAGAGTAAATCAATATCACATGCAATGACCTGAGTTCAAACCAGTGTGGGAGAATATGCACATGGTCAACCACATATGTTGGTGACAATATGAGAATTCTGGGAGGAAATTTGGCTAAATTCTTGTTGCTTTCTGTACATTTCTACCCTAGTTCGTATATGAACTCCTATAGTTAGTGAGGAAACATCTAAGGTCAGCTGAGGAAAGCGAACATATATTACGACACTGGTTCAAACTGTCGGGATACATGTTCGCTTTCAAAATCAGCTGATCTCAGGAGCTTATATACGAATATATATTATAACTCTTATAATAGTATTATAATTAACTATTATACTAATTCTAATATATTATATAAATACTATTGATTAACTATTATTAATAACTATTATACTCTTATAATATAACATTATAAGAGTAGGTGCTTTCAGAAACCATCGAAAATTTCCTCAAAATTTTCTCAAAATTTTCACCAACACATGTGCATATTTTTCCACACTGCGCAGCCGGCCAAATGAGCTGAACAGATCCCTGCGAGGATATATTCACGTGGTCAGTTATACGGCTATGTTGACGAAAGTGTATAAAAATATGTGGATTTCCTCAACATTCAAAATCTGATCTATTATTCAGCTCTGAATTTTAACAATGTAGTGAGGAAACTCTTCAGCTGAGCTGAGAAAACCTAACATATATTCCAAGCCTCGTCAACCTCGACATACCCAACCGAACAGAAAATGATTTCAAACGATATGCAGTCTTACGGTTTCGCTAGTCGTGGGGGATGTCTCCGGAACAAGGAGTTCACATGGGAGCTCCAACCTGAAGAAAAAACAACTACAGAGAAGCGGCCCAGGATATTCCCTACCTAAACTGACAGAAATCTCCGAGTGGCACCTGTTCCTCGCAATATCGAACCAGAAAACTCCGACTATAAAATGCTGCCTGAGAACGAATCATGACATACCACACTTCCAATACTTCGCCTCTTCACTTGACTATCAGATATACATGCTTGCTTCACGTCATGGAAGCTCGGCTTCGACGCCTCGCTGTTCGCGCGCTCGCTCGGATCTGAAAAAAAACCTTCGAATGTCAACCGCTTCATTCACTCAAACCATTTAAGGGCACCTTTCGATCGACTGGTGAACCAATTGTACGGCAGGGCAAAGACTTTTGAGAGAGCAACCGGCGTGGCGCTGTCAACCGAGCTCGGCTTGGTATTGGGCACTGACGATTCCCTTTGTTTCGGCACAGATAACTAAATACAGAAAAATGGATATACCGTAAACCACTCAACTACCCAAACTTATATAGATAACACAGTCAATACCGTTCACGATTGATGACTCACCCGAACTCGGAGCTGATACAAGCCCTGATGATACAAATCGACATTCCTGAATTCGTCAAAGTGAATCAAGACTTCTACGACGCCATGAAGGGGCATGTGGTTTCGAAAACGATTGGGTATATATCAAAAAAACAAATCTGCGAAACGGAACTTGAACTGAAGTTGTTCGATTTTGAGATTAGATCAATCCTACATCTTCAGATAAAGGCTATTCTATAATGGAGTTTCACCACCCGTTTTACGTGAAGTGGCGTAAGACTCAGTGAAAAAGCCGATACTCGCGATGTGCAGTAGTTTGTGGAGTATGCTTTTCACTAGTGATTTTCATATCACGGGCGGAGCTCCAACATAATTACATCATTAAATAAAATGTATATATCAGTACGGGAATATATGTTTGGTTTTCTCAACTGAGCTCGTAGGTTTCCTCACCATTTCATAAAAAATCACACGATTTTGGGTATAAGTATACAAAAATCAACGATAATTTCTCAAAATTTCCTCAAAATTTCCATATTCCTAGCAACACATGTAGTCCACCATGCGCATATATTCCCGCACTGGTATATATTGTCAAATAATATCACTAGAACTAGCTATCTTATCAGGTATCATTTAATAAAGGAATCATCTATTCATTATAATCTTTGACATGTTTATTGTTATGTCTATCGAGCAATACATCATACATGAATATAATATTGGAGTTTCACGACCGTAATATGAAAAACACTAGTGAAAAATATATTTCACGACTACTGCATATCACCGCGAAAATCGCCTTATTCACACAGTTTTACGCCACTCCATGTAAAACGAGTCAACCTCCATTGTATTGTAATTTTTCATAATACCAGTACGTGACGATAAGCCATATATACACGGCCCGCTCTGTCGCACATGTCATGCTGTGGTTTGGCCTCAATACGACGAAAAAATTAGTTGAATTGTATTAGACATATCAACACGACACTTTGATGGTGGTGGTGGTTCAAAGTTCATGAGAGAATTTATGCTCATGAAGTTTCCAAGGACTCCGTCGCACATAGACCCACGCAATAGTAAGATATCATCATCACGATGCAAAACTATTGCAAATGAAGGAGCTATAAGTAGATAAATAGCTCAGCATTAGTTATGCGACCACAAATCATCTCCACCAGGAATAATAGGAGCTCAACCCAAGCCGCTGTTGACCATCACGATCACATTTCCCCTCGTAGAAGCTCCGTAATCTCGACGCTGTTGAGTCAACAGTTTACGCAGATGCATCCGGAGAGCTATCACTCAGCGCTCTCACCCCGTTGTAATAGTAACTGCAGCTTCACCGGAGTTTCATAGCCGTGGTATGAAAAAACACTAATGAAAAAACATATTTCACGACCACTTCATATCGCGTTTTTCACCGAGTTTTACCCCACTTCACGTAAAACGAGTAAAACTCCACTACTACCATGGTATGAAAAACACTAGTGAAAAAAAACATATTTCACGACCACTTCATATCGAGAATATCGCGTTTTTCACCGAGTTTTACGCCACTCCACTACTACCTCACTTACTCTACTCCTGCCAACAGCACGCCATATAATCTGCAGCTCCGCACCTCCCTCTTCCCTGTGAATCAACATTACTCTATCCACTTACATAACATACGGACGCCATAACATTTGATCACTCGGACGCCCTGGTGGTCTGTCCTGGCCTTTTCCTTCTTCTCCCTAGCAGGAACGGCACCGAATGATCTGCTATTTAGGCGCTATCGGACGTGCGCGAAATGCTTCAGTGAGTAACGGCAGGCAGGAAGGCCAGAGGATAGATATATGATGCTGAGATTAGGTGTTTGAGTTATCATTGTTGCTAACTAAATTGCTACTATGAGCATGTGAGATAACTCCGTAGCCATTTTGGCTCAAGTCTGTATTTCTACTCTCCATTTTCACATGAGTACTAGTCGCGTTGAGGAACCGTCCAAACCAACCGAGTCGGCCGACCGTAACACTAGCAAGAACGAGTACCCAATCATTTCACTCGGGGCTATAGTGGTACTACTGTTCCCACCAGGATCGACCGTAGGAGTGATGCGCGATTGAACACGGATCGATCTGCTAAGTTACATACCCTGCTCGAGAGGCACTACATCGGAATCGATCATTCATCGATATTGAAAATTCACCAAAATTCACATTGAGCATATCGGACATCTGAACGACGATGCTACCCAATTGACGCCTTCAAAGAGGCACCGGCCTCACCTCGCCATATGCCCAGTCGGACCAACATTATCACATCCTAGAACCTACGCGGACATGAGCCTCACTCGCACACTATAAAACAACCACGTATTCGAAAATGATGGCTTCGCATACAATGATATATAAACAATGTGATACAACCGCCGCATCAGGATTACGTCTACATGAGCACCGCAACCTCATGGGAAACGGCTCGGCTTCTTACGTGGCTGCTCTCTGCCGTACTAGGACATTCACGTACCCTCTCGATAACGACACAGGAAGCGGCTCAAACAGAAAGCGCATTTTCTCCGTGCACTTCACGGCCAATTTAGCCCTACCCATTCACTACCTTAAGATCAATGCTGCTCAGATGTTCGTTTCTTCATAATGTATAACCGACTAGCCTCCTCCTCCTCATTATAAGCACTGCTACTACCGTATTTCGAACTGATACCATCTCTGGACTCGTCCACTGAGGGCGACGGTCAATCCCAGCCTTTGACGACAGAGCCATTATTTTACTACCAAAATCTTGAACAAATCGACTTGAAGAAGCCCTACAGAAGCCGTATTCCACGGCGTATGACCTCAGAATGGACAAATCTCTTCAACTCTTCCAGAATGGATCGTTGTCGTACTCGTGTACCGGTTCGCTGCGCGTATTAAATGAGCCATTTGAACAAAATTCAAATGAAAACAATTTGAGAACAATTTGAAATTCCTCGCTTTCCTCATGTAAACCTGCATGAGCGGTCTTACCCACTACTTTTGCACACAGCCACGACTATGAGGATGAAAATAAGAATGCCATTACCATATCACGGAGTAGCAGTGCTGGGCATACCAAGATATCAACTGTGGTGAACCGCACAACTACGGAAAGCTGACCTAGTGCCGAACTTGAATCACCAAGGTCCCGTCCAAGTCCAGTATTTCGAGACACTCAATGTGTCGGCTGACCATATATGTGCATATCCAGCATAGCAATGAGTTTGATACATACTACGTGCTGCAGTGTGTGGGAAACATGCACATGGTCAATGAAGTTTGTGGGTGACAATATATGAAAATTCTAAGGGGAATTTGAGAGGTGTTTTCCTTGAATTGGTCAGATTCCTTGTCTCTTGTGCTGGTTCACTGATTTTTTACCCCGGGGCGAAAAATCAGGATCATCGCGATGATATGTGAATCTCCGAGCTGATTCGAGCATCAAAAGTTGATTTTTTAGCTGATTAATACTCAATATGCCTTGCTCATGAAGCTGATTTTTCGGGTGATTCCATTGAATCTGAGTATTTCCGAGAATCAGGGAATCAGAGTTTGAATCAGACAATTTTGACAAGACGAAGATTACTACGCCCCACAACCGAAAGTGACAATTTCAAGAAAGGAAGAAAATGTCACTCTGCAAGGGTAGAACCTGGTAGGTTCGCCCCGAATGCATGAACA